CATCTATTACTCTCCTTGCCGGTCCATTCTGTTGTTAATTCAATCAAATTAATATAAGTATAATAGATACTTATTTGTTTTTTGTTTTTTTTTTTTTTTTGTTTTTTACGGCAGGTGCAAGACTTAGTGCATCCGTCGCTGTACCCCTACATCCGCGGCCTCTCCTACGAGCCACACACCACCGCCGCCGCTGTAGCGCCGCCCAAGCGCCAAGTCGCGGACCTCTGGGTGGCGAAGAAGAAGCAGGACGATGATGTCGATGAGGATGACGATGCTGGCAGTTCCGACGAGGGCGGAGAAGAACACGAAGAAATCGACTACGAAGATTTGGGCGGCGATGCAGACGAGGAGAAGAAGTACCTCAGGAAGGAGAAGACACTCGAGCAGGTGGAGTCTATCTATCAGTGGCTTCCAGCTGAGTTCGATGTAGCGGCCGATGGAGCGGTGTCAATCGAGTCCTACATCAACAACCTCGACCGCACGCGCCACGCGGCCCTCTATGACGACATTGCGGCCACGTTTCGCCTCTTCGTTCCCCTCTTCGAAAGGGTACCAACCAGCAGTTCTTGAGCCCCGTGGTCACGGTGAAGAAACACCCAAACACAGCTGACTGACACACAACGCACATCAGGTGCTGGGTGGAAGGCCGCTGGGCGGGAAGCGGCTGCAGGTGGTGGTCAAGGCGGCCAACTACATCCTCCAGCCGGGCCAAACCCACGAGGGCTCGTGGCACGTGGAGGGCATGAAGCACGAGCGCATCGTGGCCTCGGGCATCTACTACTACCACACCACGCCCAACCTCGCCGACAGCTGCCTGGCCTTCCGCCAGAAGCGCGACAACGTTCTGGAGGAGCGGGGCGACACCCAAGGCTACAACTTCAACCAGAACCTGGGCAAGGTACAAGCTTCATGTTTGGTTGTTGTCTGCGCACACATGTCTGAATGAGTGAATGAACGCTGATGGCGGGGTGCGGGTGCGTGGCAGGCGGACACACCGATGGGGCGGTGTCTGGTGTTTGGGAACCATCTGCAACACAAGGTCCGCGACATGAAGAATAAATCCAACGACCAGGTGGGCCTGCGCAAGATCCTGTGCTTCTTCCTCATTGATCCCGACCATCGGTGCCGTTCCCATCATTTCTATGACGCAGCACACACGCATGACACACACACACACACACCACACACACACGCGTGCGCTGGCCCTGTTGACATGTTTCTGGTGTGGCAACAACAGGGTCAAGTCATCGGCCGACATTCCCCAACAGCAGTGGGACGAGACCAAGAAGGGGGTGGCGCGCGCACTCATCGAGGCCACGGTCAAGCACAAGGTGAGCCTGCCGAGCGAGATCATCCACCACATCCTCAAGCTGGCCAAGTGGGGCTTCACGTGGGAGGAGGCCAAGGCGCACCGTGAGAAGCTCATGTGGGAGCGCAAGTATTTTGTGACAGCAACCAACGAGATCTGGGAGCGCAACTTTAGCTTCTGTGAGCACTAAGCTGCGCAAGACGAAGACGAACAATAAACATATCATGACTGAAGAAACGCTCCTGCGCACGGTCAACTGCAAAAGACCAGCCACAAACAAAAGTTGATGTTCTTTTCAAGGTCCGGTGCCTGCCCACACACAACCTTGACCCCACAGTGATTGCGGACGCCTGTCGACAATAGCAATCCTCGGTAGCTTAGTTGGTAGAGCGCACGGCTGTTAACCGTGAGGTCGCAGGTTCGAACCCTGCCCGGGGAGCTTTCTTTTTCACGTTGCTTTCAAACATACTTCGAAGCTTCGCTTTTCACAATCACCGAGCGGACCAGTGACATCATGAGAAGGGCTGAGTGTTGGGTGCCGATGGTGAAGAAAATCACCTTAGGGTTAGCGTTGATGCGGGGCGAACAGTTTTATTGGTGTCGCCAAGACATTTCAATCCTGGTCCGGAGAACATACAGTAACGCACAGGCCCTTAGGCGCCTCCGGCGACGTCGATGGTCTGAGCGGTCACCCAACTGGCCTCGGGGCCTGCCAGGAAGGCTACAACGTTGGCCAGCTCTTCCACTGTTCCCACTCGGTGTTCCAATGGAGTGAGCTGCTTGGTCTGTGCCTCCATCTGTTCGTACCCGCCTGGCGGGAAGGCGCCGCGAGACATGTCGGTGGGGATGACGCCAGGGGCGACCGAATTGACCCTGATGCCCCTTGGGCCCAACTCCTTGGCTGCCGTGATGCTCAAGGTCTGCACTGCCGCCTTTGTTGCCCCATACACTGACAAGTCCTGTGCCCAAACATGAGAGAAAAGCCCCGAGAGGGTGTCAGTTGCCGACGGATCTGGTGATGACACGGCTAGCATAGAGCCTTGCGTACCGGCCACCCGCGAGAGGCGATGCTGGTGATGTTGATAATGGAGCCTCCGGACTTAAGCACCTTCGACGCTGCCTGGATGCCCCACAACGGACCCTTGAAGTTCGTGGCCAGCACGTTCTCCAATACATCCTCCGTGACGTCTTCGACTGCACTAGCAACGCCAGGAGTTGCAGCGTTGTTGACGAGGATGTCCAGGCGGCCCCAGTGGCGCACGACCTCTTCAACAAGGCGGAAGATCTGTTCCTTCGAGGCCACATCTGCCTGGAAGGCATGAGCCTCACCGCCGGCGGCCTTGATCTCCTTCACCACTGTCGCAGCAGCGTCGGAACTCTGGGTGAGGAGGTGTGGGTCAGAGTAAGCAAGCAATGCTGGAAAGGTGATGACGTGGGATGCTGTGCGCCATAGGAAGATACCTTGGCATAGTTGACAGCAACGAGAGCACCGTCAGCAGCGAGACGCTTGGCAATGGCAGCTCCGATGCCACGAGAGGCGCCGGTCACGATGGCCACTTTGCCTTCGAGAATGCGTTGCTGGGTGGTAGCAGAAGGGGCAGACATGTTGTTGAAGTTGTGAGTATTGTCAATGAAAAGGAAGTCTGTTGTTATGCGTTTTTGTAGGTGGTGCAGCCTCCCATCCAGCCGAGATCTGAGGCGAGGTCTGATTGTTATTGGCTGAGAAGGCTGCAAGGCCGAAGGCGACTCTTATTGGCCAAGAATTTCTAAGTCTGCCGAGATTTTGGGCCGAGCAGGCGATTTTTATTTTGTCCGTCCCATACAAAAATTACCCCAAAGCGCCTGCTGGCAGATACTTGATCATTATCTTTT